CAGAAATGAATTTCATATTGAGATTCAGCTTCCCTTCTATGATATATCCCATCATAAATGTGCAAATACTTCTAAATCTGAAAAAAAAAAATTGAAACCTGAAAACTTCTGGCCCAAAGAACCTCAATCTGTACAGGTTCTGTAGGTTGAGCACATGGAACTAATTCTCTCTCAATCGTTCAAGAACAGGGACTTCAAGACAGGCTCAGATGTAAGCCTGTGGTTTATCCAGCTTCCTTCTCTTCCTGCTTTTCTGTCTGAGACTGCTGGAGCAAGGCCTTGATACTTCCATTAATACTGAGAAAGGACTGAACACGGTCATCCCAGTTCTTTCTCTCCCCACCCCCCTTTTCTTGCTTCTCATTTCCAATTTTACCAGAGTCAGGGGGCCTACACCACTAAGTATATTAAAAATCTCTCTCAGTCTGTGGGTCTACTTAACACTAATCTATTCATCCATAGACTCTACCTCTTTGTCCCACAGAGGGGTGACTTGTATATGTGGAAAAATGCCCTGGCCTCAAATACAAACAAGAGAGCTTGGCAGGCCAAACACCCTGGCCAGATACTCTCTAGTCCCACTAGGACACCACAGTAGGACCCTGCAGAGGCAGCGGGGTATGCTGGGTAATGGGATGCAAAATGATGCAGCTCTCCACTTGATTCCCTGGGCCTCTGGATTCCTGGCTCTGCTACAGCCCAGGCAAGTGGTTTGGGAATTGTGGGGAAAATGGGTGGAGAGATGGGGTGGAGGCTTCCTCTAAGCCAACCACAACTAACTCTTTGACTCTGTCCAACAAAGCCCAGACAGTACGATTATCTGGCTAATCTGACCCTTCATGGAGAGGCCAGCTTAGACTAAACAGTGGCTTCCATCCTAAAGCTTCTCTCGAGTGCCGGAGGATGAGTGTGAAGTTTCAGGGGGTTGAGACTGCTTATGTGACCCACCCATGGATCCAGTTGGGCCAAAGACAAGTCAATCAGACTTCAAGGAGAGTTTGAGAAGGAATGTCTCCCAGGGACAAATGCCCAAACAACATGCTAGTTGGTTTCCTGACTAATTTACTTTCTGGTTTTCCATGGCTGGAAATGAGAATGACTACATCAGCCAACATTTTCCAGTGCAAGTGCAGCCCCCACAGACTCCTGAAGTGTCCCCAGCATCTCTGTGGCGGGGGTATGGCAGGTGTCCCTCCCTGCAAACAGATCCGGTACCTGCCACTTGGGCTGAATGCAGAGCTAAGATACCAGAGGGAAATGAAAGCATGCCTTGGGGTTACCCCAAAGGAGATGAAGTATGTCCAGCTTGGTTGGCAACGGAACATTTGCCAGATGGTTTACAGAAAACTGAGATTTGGGAAGAGAGATTAAAAAGCACTCTTGGAAACGGATCTGCCAGGATCTGCGGAATCTGTCGGTTATTCCCTCTGCAAACATTTCCTTCCGTTCTAGTTTGTGCTGAGACCTGTGCTACTTAACAGAGGAGATCTGGTCATGGCCCCTTGCTGCAGGCAAATAACCCCACCCTAAATATATTGATGAGAAGGAAGGAGGGAGGTGCTGTGAAAGGACCCCTGAGTTCCTGATTCGGACAGGGCTCAGGGAGGGAGTCTCTGAGGAAGCCACTGTTAATTAAGCCAAGTCATTAAAGGGCCCAACTTGCTCTCTGAGAGATCACTCTAGGGATAGTGAGATGGTTCAGTGGGCAAAAGTGCCTGTAGTGTAAGTGTAGGGTCCTAAGTTTAGAACCTTAGAACCCACACTAAGCTGGGGGAAGCTGCAAACATCTGTGTTCTCAGAGCTGTTAAGGAGGAGAGCTAGACCCAAGGAGCTCCAGAGACTCCCTGGACAGCTAGCATAGCGACAAAAAAACAGCCCCTTTCTCACACAAGAGGGAAGGTGAGGCCCAACTCCTGAAGTGGTCCTCTGACCACCACATACCTGCATAGCTCCTGTATCACCATCACCACACACAGAGACACACAGACACACACACCCCAAAGACAGATCATCCCATCCTGGTTTTGGCATGAAGAATAAAATGGAGATTGGTAAACAAATAGAGCTATATGGTTGCCGATCAAAAGTCTGGATGAGAGCTGGTGGCCATCCAGCCAAGGTAGCATCTTGACAATTAGCAGTGGAGGAAGTAGGGAATAAAGAGGACATGGCAGAAGGTAGGTATGGTGGCAGAGGGAGGATGCACAGGCTTGCAGCTAAGGTGGAAGGTCCAGGTTGCACTCTGTTGAGAGGGGGTAGAGGAAGACAGTGAGTTCTGTACTGGAGTCAAACAGAGGGACTGGTGTCTCACCTTGTACTGGCCAAACTCCTCTGCCCTTAGACCCTCAACCTCACATGCTTCCCATGCCACCGGCTCCACATATTAAGAGCCCATCTACTCTTCAATCCAACTCAAACAGCACTCAATCCTCAAAGCCATTTCTGTTTATGGACGGGACCACTGCTTCTTTAGTCTTCCCCACATGGAGCTAGCCAGCATAGTAGACGCTGACAAATATTTGCAAAATGAACAAAAATAGCCTGCGTTTTTGCCATGGAAGGAAAATTAGTAGACACTGGACTGACTTAAAAGCCACTGGATCATACTGAAGTTCAAACTGTAGGTGTTTTAATATGAAGCCAATTCCATCCATTTGATGTTCAATAGTTCACTCCCTTCTTCTGACTCACAGGGAAAAAAATAGTGCAGGGAGCGAGAATGGGGAGAGAGGCCATTTCTGTTCCTGAGTTCCAAACGGAATTTCTTCCAGTCAATTTTGTTCTTATTCACTGAAGGATGATGAGAAGAGGAGGAGGAGGAAGGGTTGTGGTAGAATGGAGTATGGAGGGGGAGTAGAAGAGGGGGAGGAGAGGGAGATTTACTAACAACCACAACCACTCATAGCAAAAGAAACAGCAATTGGACAGAAGGGATGAGGGAAGGCTGGGAGAAGAAACAGGACAGAGAGGGAAGAAGAGAAAGGGAGAAAAATGAGAGGAAGAGGAGACAGAAAAGGAGGAGAAGAGGAAAGAGAAACACTTGTGATGTCCTGTCACTAACTCATGAGTTTTCCCAGCCACCCCACTGTCACAAATTGATGCTACTATTACCCAAGAGCACAGATGAAGAACTGGAGAGGGCCCAAGTATTGCTCAGCCAGGGCAACTAATTTAAGAGGTGGAATTGGGATTTGAACCTGGAATCTGACTCCAGAGCCCTTTCTCTGATGTGCTCTCCTAAGGTTGAGTATGGTACTCCTTCCTATAAAGGAGGGTCTCAGTTTATTGATTGTGGAGTCCCTGGTCAGAAACCAGGAGGAATGGAGTTAAGTCCTGATTTCCTTTGCAGTCTGACCTAGTCCATGTTTCTTTCTACATAAAACAAGGGACATGGATATTGATAACAGAAGTAATAATGAGAGATGGTATTCTCAATTCTGGTCTCTTTTGATGTTTCTTTTTTAAAAAATATTTATTTATTTATTATGTATACAATATTCTGTCTGCGTGTATGCCTGCAGGCCAGAAGAGGGCACCAGACCCCATTACAGATGGTTGTGAGCCACCATGTGGTTGCTGGGAATTGAACTCAGGACCTTTGGAAGAGCAGGCAATGCTCTTAACCTCTGAGCCATCTCTCCAGCCCCCTCTTTTGATGTTTCAAATAACTACATCCCAGTTACAATAACACAAGAAAAGGACAGCACAGAGAGCACAAATCACCTGCTTAACACCTAGAAACAAAAGAGTCAAGATTCAAACATGTGCTCTTCCACTATGGTGGCATGAATGAGAATGTCCCCATAGGCTCATATATTTGGATATTTGGTCTCTGCTTGGTGGAATTGTTTGAGAAGGATAAGGAGGTGTGACCTTGTTGGAGGAGATGTGTCACTGGAGGTAGAATTTGAGTTTTTTAAAGACTCTCCATCCTCAGTGTGTCTCCCTCTGCCTCCCACTTGAAGACCATGATGTGAGCTCTCAGATGTTCCTGCCACCATGCCTTTACTCTACCATCACAGACTCCAGCCTTCTGAAATCCTAAACCTAATGAAATGTTTTCTATTATGAGTTGTCCTGGTCATGATATTTCATCACAGTAATATAAAAGTAACTAACATATCCACTATACTCCATAGTCAAAGTCAAAGGAGATGCCCTGGAGTCATGGGTCACAGATGGGACACATAGCTTCCCATCTGAGCAGCTACACTTGTCTCAGTTTTGTAGCATGGACTCCTTTTGATAGTTCTTTGAAGAACAGTTCTCTATCTGTGATGGCTGTTCTTGGCTGTCACCTTGACTACATCTGGAATTAACTAAAACCCAAGCTGCCAATTATACCCGTGAAGGATTTTTTCTTAATTAAATCATTTGAAGTGGGAAGACCCATCTATTATCCAAATCTTTGAGGTGGGAAGATCCAACTTTAATCTGGGCCACACCTTCTGCTGGCAGGCTACATTAAGGATGTGGACGAAGGTCGCTTGCTCTTTGCCTACTTGTTCTCAATCTCTGGAAAATCTATTCCCTTACTGGCATTGGAGCCTACTTCTTTGGAATTCTGGCATATTTTGAAGACCAGTTGAGACATTTAGTCTAGTACATGGAACTGGAGTCTTAGACCTTCTATTGGTAGGTAGACAGTCACTGTTGAACTTCATGGACCGCAGACTGTAAGTCACTCATGTGTGTGTGTGTGTGTGTTTGTAAATATATGTATATATATATTTACACTTACATATAAACTTATATAGTACATATATACTATCAATTCTGCTGTTCTGTTCCTTTAGAGAACCCTGACTAATACTCTACCTAAAACCAAAAGGTTGAAAACTTAGTGGACCAGAAAATTCTGGAACTTAATGAGACTCCCAAGTAAAACCCAAGATTTTTCTGGCAATCTTTGTTCACTATGACCAAGGTTGCTCTTGGAAATGGCCACTGTTCAGAGAAAGGCAGCTGTGTGAAGAGCTAGGAAAGGGGCCACCACCTACCTGCTCCACTCGGATCTCAATGTCGCCATTCACTTTCTTCCCGTGGAAATACTTTGACCTGCAAGGAAACCAAGAGACCTGCTCAGTAAGGGTCCATTGTCCTTTCCTCCATTCCCCAAAGGCATGGCTCTAAAGGCGGAAGCCAAAACAGTCTCAGCCTGCCACTGTCCTCCCCTGACAACCCACTGCCTTGGTATTTAGAGATAGAACGGTGAAGGAGAGGAGAGTGGATGGGAAGAGAGAAGACTCGACCTCCTGTACCTCAGCTGCAGCCTCTAAAAGGAAGCCATGCTCCCAACTTCTAAGAATGATTTGAAAGACTCGATGGGACAAGGAGAACATAAACAGTGCAGTATTGATTTGGTGCTATTTTATTAAATTGTACATATGTACTACCTCAAGGATTTATTGATCTGTTCCCTCATGTCTGTATCATGTGTCTAAATATCAACCACTAATTCTTTCATCCACTCACCCATCCTTCCATGACTCTAATCCACAAAGCTAATTATCACCATGAACTATTGATCAAGGCCAAAGAGTAGATAGCATTCTTATGACCTCACCCTTCCTTTCCATGCTGACCCTCCAACCTTATTCTCAATCCTTCTACTTGTCCACTTTCCTCTGTAAGCACCCTACTCCTGACCAAAGTTCTTCTCCCTTCTGGCATGGACTGTCTTTCCTACTGCTGATTACATTAAAATTAAAATCAGTAACGGTGCTTAATGTCTGCATCCCCCTGAATGATAGCAGGAATTCCTCAATCAATAAAATGTGACTCATCATTTTATCCATCATTTTATCCACAACACCACCAGAACGTGCAGCACACCACAGGAATGCAATTGATTATCTGTTGAATTAATAAATAAATGAATGGATGTAGGATTCAATCTGTGGTCTTTGTCATTTAATGTGGACAACTGCCATCATGAAGCAGGCAGTTTTATTTCTGTTCTATCAAGGAGGGAACTCAAAATGCAGAGACTAAACACTTGCACATTCTAAGGGGGATCTGCACCCAGGCCTTCATCCCTGTGTCTGTGCTTTCACTCAACCCTGTAAGAGTCAGGACGGAAGGATGCTTGGGGGTTAGATATCTTTCCATGTGAAATGCGAAAGACCCAGTTTGCATCCCCATTTCCCACTGCTGTTGCAATGAAACACATGCTTGAGTCATTTGCTGTGAACCAGACACTACATTAAACATGTCTACAAACCTTCTTAGGGCTGGAGGCAGCACTTTTCTTCCTCCTAACTCATTCTCTCCTTTTTTTCACAGCAGAAATGTTTATAGATTAGATAAACATTTATCTAATGTGGTCCCAACACTCCCCTAAGTGAGGTATGGCCACATGACCCCGTTCTAATCAATAACTTGAAAGTATTACATTCCAGAACCTTCTCTTAAGTTTCTTCATTCTATCCTCTCCCCTGGAGCAGGGATGTTGCTAACTATTTTCTCAATCTTTGTTGGTGAAAGAATCCTTTCTACAAACTCTTAGACTGTCCCACTCTGCCTGTCTTTACAGCCCCCATCAATTCTCAGCCAATGCCAAGTCCCCAAAACGTCCTGCATCCTTTGCTGACAGCTTTGATGCTACTGTCACTTTTTCTTACAGTACAGACAGACCAAGATGTCACTGAGGCTGGGCTTTTGTGGAAGAGGAATGGTTGGTATGACCTGAAAGTGAGGAAGGTAGGCCTGTCTGTCTTCCTTTCCCTTCCTTCTGTTTTTTTTAGACTCTTGTTCTGTCTGCCTACCTGTCTTTTTCTTTCTTTCCCATTGATGCTCTTCAGTAAAATGTGTGTTTAGCTAGCCTCCCACAATGCAGAATTTTATCACAAATCCTCAACCAGAGGAGTCATCACATTCCATTCCACCTCCAGTATTTGTGGGGCCCAGAGAAAACAACAAATGGTCTACGAGGTGCATGACTAATATTTAAAGTTGATGAATATTCTAATTTCAGTTCTGGGGCTGTCGTATGAGATCGTACCAGAAGCAACTCAGAGATGAAAGGGTTTTTTGGCTTACAATTCCACATTACAGGCCATAATTTGGGGTAAGGTAAGGCATAAACGCAAGTAGTTATAGCACACCCACGGACAAGGGTAAAGAGAAGATAAAGTCAACCTTGCCTGCTTGTCCTCAGCTAGCTTTATTTTGTAGGGAATGATGTTTCTCACAATTGACTGGATTTTCCCAACAATTAGGGCAATCATCTATAGACGAGTCCACAGGCCAATGTTACCTAATCTGTCCCTGTTTAATACCTCAAGCAATTCTACATTGTGGCAAGATGACACTTAATACTAGTATGACGAGTAAAGTTAACAGTTGTCTAAATAAACTATCTGCATTCCTTCTTTGAGGACCACAACTCATAAGGTCGTAGAGTTCTACCCAGACTATGGCAGCATCACAATGGCCAGCTCTTGGTCCTCAGTCCTAATTCATATTCTTCCCTAGTTTCCCAGATCCTCTCCACTCCGCCCCATAACCCTGCAGATTCTGGTGTTGACCGTCTCATCAACCCCAAGAGGGGATGAGGCAGGTTCACTCCCCATATCTTGCAGACAGAGAAGTCACCTTTCAAAATCTCACAACTTTTCCAGTTGTCCCATAGTTTCAAATTTTCAGGATTCAACCCAGAACCCCAAGTTCCATCCCAATGGGGACCCAGGCACCAGTTGGTCCACTTTCTCCATGCATTGTTTCATGGCTGCTTCCATGAACACACACACACACACCTCCTATGATGCTTCAAAATGTCCTCTGCTTAGACTCACATCTCTGTTTTCCAGACCACTCCTCACCTTCTAGAGTCCTCACTTGCGATATCTATTCTTTTGTTTTCTTTAGTACAACTGGGCTGGGTGTCTCTCTTCAGCCACTGGGCACATTAAACTCTCAACCCTTATGGTACCATTCTGCCTTATAACTCTACATTACAATCTGTCCCCTGCCTCCAGGCATCCCGCCTGTGAGCTCCTAGAAACCAGAAGCTCCGTCTCAATATTCATTCATTGCATGGAACATCACAAGCATGACAGGGCTCAGGACTGTGCTTCCCACGTTAGCCAGGTTAGCGAATGCTTCCCTTTTTCATGCGTTCCTTCTTTGTGACCTTTTATTGCCACCTACTGGCAATTCACTATAATAACTCACACATCTACAACTTTGATAGTTGGGGTCATTGTGTGGATACCCGACCTGCAGGACTGACCGCCTCGGACTTGATTCCAACCTAGAACCCTGCATTACATGCCATCCAAGCCTGGACTCACCTTCCCAGGAGTCTTTGGAATGTTGACTGCTGGGGCTGGCAGGCGGTCTCAGGCTGGGGTGAGGGTCAGGCAGTCCGTCCCCTGCCTGGCTGGGAGTCAGAAGTCTGTCTCCTGATGGGCCACACAGACTGCTGCCTCCTTGCCGGGGGTGTGTGTGAGGGGTGGGGGTGGAAGGGTGGGCCCATTCAGGCTGGAGTTGCCTCAGAACAGCTCTGTCTGGCAGAGGAAGGGGAGGGATGGCCCAGAATTCTAGATGCCTTGGGGGTGGAGTCCACTGCCTCTGCTGTTGACTGGCTGTTTGACCTTAGGCAGAAACAGATGGATCCATGGTACCCATTGGCTTTGTCTCCCACAAGCAGCCTCATTCCCACTGCCCTAATATGTCCATCCTCATAGCTCCTTGAATAACTCAGCCAATCAGCCAAGTCCGTGGTCCTGCCCTATGAAAGGGGCGGGAACTCTGGATTCCAGGAGGCTTCTGTCTCTGTGGGTGGCCTCATATTTTACTGCCACATTAAAGGCACCAGGAAGGAGAATATTATAAACTGGGGCTGCCTGGGGTGGGAAATCCCTAGCTTGAGGCCCCGGGATGTGGTGGTGTGTGAGAGAGATTTATGAGGAGTGGGCACGGCATTCTTTTCCTGCTGCAGTCAGGGAATGAGCATAGATGGGATCTACCTGTGTCAGAGCAGGGCTCTCTGAGATCCATCAGCCTGTGAAGCCTGTGAGGCGAGGTCGCTTCTCTCACTTGAGCCCAGAGCTTGAGGATTCCGCTAGTCCAGCCTCCCTGAGTCTGGGATGCAGGCAGGGGCACCATAGCCACTCGTTTACTAGAGCATAGAGGATTTAAATACTGGGGGTCTTACTTGTGCAGCAAGTTCTTTGCCCAGTGAGCCATGTCCATGGCCCCAGGAGGCCTTCTTTGCATGGTTCATTCTATAGTGATGGACCATCTGCTCTGTGCAGAGCCTTCAAACATGAAGACCACAGGGCTTACTGCCTCCTAGGAGGGTGTGACACACAGATAGGTAATAACCAGTAGCTATCAGCACAGGGATTCTGCTTGGTCCACAGAGGAGACACTCAGCCCAGAATTGGGTGGGAAGCAGGGTGTGTGTGTGTGTGTGTGTG